TTGTGCTGTATATGTGTAATAAGAATTATAATGCATTCTGCTGTCATTTGTTTTTTTAAAATCAATTGTAAAAAAGCTATTTAAAAAAAAGAAAATTAAGGGGACATAATCTATGTTTGCATACGTTACCAGTTTTTTTTTTTTAAATGATTGTGTATTTTCTGCTGGTAAAAGACTTTACATTTATCTATTAAATTAGACTTATTAGCTGTATTATCCACATTTTTAAAATATTAACTGCTTGATTTATCAGCTTGGAAAATATTTAAAATTTTTATTGTACATAGTTCAGTATTTTCTCCACTTTTAAAAATCTTTGGACTTATGTTGGTACTTATTTTTATACTGATTATGACCCTAATTATTTTCTTATTTATGATTCTTATCTTTTATTAATTTAAACATCTATCTTTTAATATTAACACATTTTAATCTTATGATTTTTTTCATTTGCTATTAGTATTTTTTTACCAGCTTTTATTTGTTTGGTATGTCAGTACAGAATACAGTGTGGTATTACAAAGTTAAATCAATGAGTTAAAACTTGGTGATTTAATTAGATGAAATTTTATCTCTCACTCTTCTAACAAAAAATCTAAAGTTTAGAGGCTGGGACAAGAACATTCACAGCTAATTAATAATAATATTAATATGTGGTGCTGAGGATTGAACCCAGCGCCCCATGCATGCCAGGCGAGCACGCTACCGCTTGAGCCACATCCCCAGCCCTAGCATTTCATTTTCTGAGCATTGTTCTCTGTACCCTTCCCATATATATATATATATATATATATATATATATATATATATATATATATATTAGTATGCCCAGGTTTCCATGACAAAATATCAAACACCATGTAGCTTAAACAACAGAGATTTATTTCCTCACAGATCTGGAGGCTGGAAATTCAGATCAAGGGGCCAACTGTGCTGGATTCTGGTAAGGCCACTCTCACTGCTGGTCGACAGGCCACCTTCTCAGAAACCTGTCCTCCATGAGTGCACACAGCCTTCTCTGATGCCCAGCGTTTCTCCTCTTCTCATAAAAACATCAGTCCTACTGAATTAGGGACTCCGCATATGACCTCCCTTAACCCAATGACATCCATGATTGTCCTATCATCAAATATAGTCAAGTTGGGGGTTAGAGATCCAACATTTGGATTTTCAGGACAAACAGTTCAGTTCATTACACAGTCTTTCTGAAGTAGGTCCATAGGAAGCATTTATAGTTAGGGGATGGGTACTGGAAATTTCTCCAGGTATTTTTGTATGAAATTATATTAACTAATTGAATCTTTATAGATGTACTTTTAGTGAAGAATTTAGGGGGCTGGGGTGGTGGTTCAGCAGTAGAGTGCTCCCCTAGCACGTGCAAGGCCCTGGGTTCGATCCTCAGCACCCCATAAATAAAATAAAGGTATTGTGTCCAACTACAACTAAAAAATAAATATTAAAAAAAGAATTTAGGGTTGTAGTTACATTTATTTGCACTTCGATGATGTGAATCAATTGTCTTCTGTCATACTTTTTAAAGACTTTCTCGTGTAGTTCAATTTCATTATTTCGCCTATCATTACTTTGTAGATTCCTTCTGAATTTCTCTTTGCATCTGAGGATTGCAAATTCTTACAAAATACAAGTGAATATATATGAGGCATTTCGCTGACTATAGAATGCACACACTAGAAGACATACCACTGTTTTATATGCCATTATTAACATGACTTGAATTGGTAAGAGAGAAATACATATTGATCCTCGTACATAAAATACAATTAATACTTCTTTTTTATTTATTTATTTTTATTTTTTTTTACAATTGATACTTTTAACACAGGTATTATCAGAAAAGGTAGGAAGAGAATGATTCTCTCTTCAGATAACTTGTACAACTCTTAAAACTGAACACAATGCTATGCTTACTGTTACACTTACCATGAAACTCTATTTGCAAACAAAGATGCTAAATTTCACCACAATTATTTAACCTTTGGAATATTCCAGCCATTTCTTTATGTAACTAACCACCAAAAATAATTTATGAATAATTAGCAGAAGTAAAATAATGATTACAAATAACTTTTATGCAGATAATATCATTTTCACCTTCAAAAGTTAAGAGAATAAGATTATAATACAAGATACATGTGCTACATTAGTAAAGCAGCTGCTTTCCAAGTCAACAAACAAAAATACCTGTACTTTGTCATGTGCATGTTGATCAAATTCTTAATGTCATAGAAAAATAACAACATTAAATATAAAAAACAAAATTATATATTCTTTTATGTCTTTTTCCACTGTATTCTGGATGTGGCTATAAGCAACCTCTTTCCAATTGACATTTAATCTGAACATGGGGGAGATCCTCCCTATGCCACGTTATTACTGTAACTCTCAGCTGGAATTCTCAGGTAACACCAGATAACTCTTTTATCATTCAGAACCCACAACTCCTCACATGAAAAATAGTATTACACATATATGTGTAATACTAAAAAGTTATAAAATATATGGATTACCTGACACATATATAATATTCTCTTTTTAGTGGCTACCTATTATACATATCTGCTTTTTATTTTACAAATAAAAAGTTTGTCAGACATTTCAAAAAGACAAATAGAAAATTTGTGCTGCATATATTTGCTCAATGAATAAATAATTAAATGAAATATATAGAAGAACAGGAAAATCTACATACCAAATTCAAACCAGCAGTTCAAAGGGATTTGTCAAGAAAATAAATCACAAAGAATCCTTCATGTTTAAAAATTTATAGACTTTTATCTTATTGAAAATTTAATAGGAAGCCGGGAGTGGTGGTAATCCCAGTGTCTTGGGAGGCTGAGGCAGGAGGATCACAAGTTCAAAGTCAGTCTCAGCAACAGCAAGGCACTAAGCAACTCAGTGAGACTCTGTCTCTAAATAAAATAAGGCTGAGAATGTGGTTCAGTGTTTGAATCCCCCTGAGTTCAATCCCTGATACCAAATAATAATAATAATAATAATAGCAATGAACACAGGCACATGTTTCCCTCTCAATCTCCTCTCTTAAACCTAATTTATTGTAAAATCTTCACCTATTTTACTAAATTTATACAATTTTAGATACATCTAACCTTTGGAATATTCCAGCCATTTCTTTATGTAACTAACCACCAAAAATAATTTATGAATAATTAGAAGAAGTAAAATAATGATTACAAATAAATTTTATACAGATGGTATAATTTTCATCTGCAAAAGTCAAGAGAATAAGCTTATAATGCAAACTACATATGATACCAAAGCATCTGTTTTTTTTCTGCCATACAATCAACACTAATAATACATATATATAAGTACATGTTAATTATGAGTAGACCACTCATAGCTGACTCTAAAGTCCTGTCCTATGACAACTTAGATATATTCTACCCTAGTAAATTAGAAGTATGTGATGAACTAAAGTACAAGAAAAACACTAATTTCCCAGTGTGGTATTCAATTTAAATGAATTGTGATAAATACCTGTAAGTTACCCAGAAAATCACAATACATTCCAAAAGCAAATTATATATCCCTAATAATATTACATATGTTCCAAAAATTCTTGATTCTGAAACTCACAATATAGATAGGGTAATTGAAATAAAGTAGTCTTATGATTCTGAGGAATTTCAAGTACTTTTCTAAATCGGATCTTATATTTGAAACATTGTATTTAGTGCAACTGATTTCCAAGCCCAGTACTAGAAACCTGGCTCAGAGGTAGAGTGCCTGCCTTAAAATGTATGAGGCCCTGGCTTCAATCCATGGCATCACATACACACACACACAAAAAAAATCAACATGTACAATAAATATTCAAGAAATTTGTATAACCATGTCAGAGGTATTACTGAATTTGGGTCATTGGGTACAGAGTCAATATAAATGGCTTCCTAGTCTATATATTATGTTATTCTTCATTTCTTATCTGAAATTTTAGGCACATATTCTACATTAGGAAATTATTTTTATGTGTATATAATTATACAACTTTATTTTTACTATGTCTTAGATGTACACATAAACACATATGTCTCATATATTATCCATTGATCATTTTTAAATCTCCAAGTGGACAAAGATTGATGCAAAAATTATGTTACAAAAAGAGTATTTACTGGAGTGTGGCGATGCGTGCTTATAATTCCAGTGACCTGGGAGGCTGAGACAGGACAATAGTAAGATCAACAAGGCTAGCCTCAGCAAATTAGGGAGGATCTAAGCAACTTAGTGAGACCCTGTCTCAAAATTTAAAAATTAAAAATAGCTTGGGATGTAACTCAGTAGTAAAGCACCCCTGGGTTCAATCCTCAGTACCTCCAACCAAAAAAAAAAAAAGAGCATTCATATTTAAGTGGTCCATATTCACATACTTCTTAGTATGAATATAGTCATATACATACTTGTGTCTATATTATGCTTGTTTTTTTAAGTATTATGTTTGTTTTTATTTAACTATTGCTACATATTTTGTAAAATGCACAGTTACATACAATAATAATATTTGGAAAATAAAAATACATAAATACAAGGCTTTCTTGTGATTTGATTTTCTTTTAGACTATAAAAGATAATCCCTGGGGCTGGGTCTGTAGCTTGGTGGTAAAACACCTGCCTTACATGTGTGAGGCACTAGGTTTGATCATCATCACCACATAAAAATAAATAAAGATACTGTGTATTCATCTACTACTAAAAAAAATATTTTAAAAAGATGTTAATCTATGTCAAAGTAAGAAGATTACTTTCAAAAAGAAAAAAGAGATAATCCCTAAAAAGTTTCAGGGACCAATGGGTCCACATCTTTGCACATGCACCTCAGCTACCACAACACCGAAAGAGAGGCCGTTTCAGCTTATTATTTCCCAGAATCAGGATAAATGAGTGGCCTGAAGGAAAAGTCACTCCAATAGACCAGACAATTAAAATAATAATATATTTATCAAGAAACACAGGGTTACAAATTTCAACAAGAAGCGACAGAAAAAAAATGGCATACAGTAGCAGAAAGGTCATCACCGATTGCAATGCTTTCACGTGGGCCACGGTGCTGGCGTCCCTGGACCCTTTGGCACTGTGGTGCATCCTCTTCAGGTGCCTCCACAGAGAGAAGATTAGCAGGAGAGCAGTCATCAGGGACAGAGTGAAGGGTATCACCATGAACATAACGTTGATGAATGAAAAGGTATCGGAAAACTGTGCAAACTTATCCAAACTGGAACTGAAAGACAGGTTTCCTTTATATGCAGCAATCCAGACATCATCTTGAGTGTTCATCAATACAATATTCAAAATCAAGAAGTTTAGAGACATCAGCAGGGTCACTGACACCACCTTTTTAACTCTCCACTTTAGGTAAAGAAAAAGAGAGTTAGAAAAATTGGCTATCTTGAGAAAATAAAAGATGCTGAGACTTGCAGCAAGCCAGATGCTGAAATGGTTGACCATTGCCCCAGTTACAATTATTATTTTTAACATTTTTCTAGACATAAATACATCTGGATGCAGTGCATAGATCAACGCATATATGAATGGGAAAAGGAGCTGGGCAATTCTGGAGAGTGCCAAAGCAGTGAGAATTTGATCAGCTGAAGAGATCTTTCTTCTCTTGACCCAGTCCACACAGTTCACTACTGTTATGAATCCATTTCCTAAAACTCCAATCGTACATTCCACAGTTAAAATGATTTCCAATATTCTATATACAATACCATCCATTGCCTGTAAGAGAATGAATAACCCAGCTTCAAATACACTGCTAAAAATTCGATATTCATTTAAAAGACTATGCTTATCTGATACTGGAATATTCACAGCATTGCCACTTCTAAAATTTCTCATATGAACGAACAAACAAGCAAGCATCCAGATTTGTCAATAACCAGGTTCATAGTTTTCTTCATGAAAATATTGTGTTTTCCAAGACATACCAGCTGAGCTTCACCCAGATACTGTGCCTCAAACATAGTAGACAGTAGTCTTCTGTATTGAGGACAAAGGAAATGCTAGAACCTCATGTGTTAACATGGAGATAGGAGATACATTTATTAGCACTGTTTTGTATAACTCTACCTACTTTAATCTAACTACCTGAGTTCTGGACAAGCAACATTACAAAATTCTAATATATATAGAAGGTAACAAGAAGCTAACCATGTGTGGAACTTCACTGGGACTTCCTCAGCACCAAGCTTCTTTAAATACTTCAAAGTTTGGCCTGTTCAGGGACCTAAGCACATATTGTCCAAAACTCTTCCTACAAACTATCAGAGTCTTGTGGATATCATTATTACTCCTCAAATATTCAGTACTGAGAATAATACTTCTTAATCATTTTACTTTCTACAAGGACATGCATACACACACAATTCACACATAAATACACACATATTTGGTTCCAAATTCCCTTTGTTTTTCACTTCAATTTTTCAGGTACTCAGTATTTTTATGCATGTGACTCATGTCTAGTACTACAATAGTTGTTCAGACATTGCTTAAAAATATTTTCCAGTATAATGGGGTAGTATAAATGTGAATATTCAGTAAACTTGGAGCTATTAAATCTGTTCATCTGAAAAGCAGTAGAAATCTTTGTGGTCCCCTGAAGCAGTGAATGAGGTCATCCATAGACCAAGAATCCTCCTCATTCTTTGCCTGCCTCTTTCCTGATAGGGACCATTCCTTCATCAGAACCAGAGACCTTCAGATTTTTATCCCCCTCCCCTCTCCTTCTACCAACACCTGCTCCATGACATTCACTACAGGTACCCAGGTTTATGAAGAATGGTACACTGCCTAGTGAAGATGTTTAATGAGCAACATGAAATAATCATTCTTCCCTTACTAAGGAATAATCAAGGAACAAATGAAACATATGCAGAAACTATTACCAAAGACAGCAGAAAAACATGTTTCAGAGATGGCAGAGAAAGACATGAGGTATATACTGGGAAGGGCAGACCCTGACCTCTGAACATTAAGAAATGAAACCAAGATCACTTGAAAAAAATCCACAAATAATCTGAGAGAGAGAGAAAATAAATTAGCCAACATTAGAACATTTTTAGAGAAAACTCTTTAGAAGCACAAGCATACCATCCTTGTAGAGGCAAGAAGTTTCCCTGGCTTGGCTCATCCCATGTAACAAGAGGAGGTAGGAAAGGAGACAAAGAGCAAAGCAAACAGTGCTGGGGGTGGGGCTGTGTGGTGGGGGCGCTGGTACAGAGCTTCATTCCCTTTTAGAAAAGAGACAGAAATCCATCCTGTACCAGTGAGGGCTGCGCTCACACCAGAGCAGGCCTTCCTGAGGCCCCAACACTGCACCTTTCACTCTGGTTATTTGTAACCATTATTCAAGACATATAAATCTTTAATTTAGGTTTAGGTTTCCACCTGCACAATAGCTTCTAGGGAAGACAGGCTTTTTCCAGATAAGGTGAAGATGGTACCCAGGATAATTTCCCCACATTTCATCCATAAAGCAAAACAAGTCAGGTCTTCAGTGAGGGGCAGTATCTTCAAGTATTTCTCTATCAATAATACATTTAGGTGTGCTTAGAAGTTAGGGCATTTCATGTTAGTTTTTTTTCATTTGTGGCAAGACTTATATACTGACTATACCAAGTCATCCAAAAGGATTTAACCAAACAAAATCTATGTATCTCTCTACTTACATCATTATTTGTAATCATAATCCTCCCCTACATATAAATCTTTAATGTTTTTCTTTTAAATAAAACTAAATAAGTTTCTTGGTCACCATCACAATAGGTTAGTGCCGCAGTCTGTCTGCAGCAAAATAACCGGGGGGGTGACGAACAACTTGTTTACGTTGATACAGCAGGAGTAGGAGCCGTTTATTGCAGGACAGGAGCAGTATTTATACATTCCACACAGCTTATCTAATTAGCATAAACTAGATACATCAGTCAACCAATAAGGAATCTCCACACTTAATGGCTTGTTTTTGTTACTTCTCAAACCACTCCCTTTGGCATTTTGCCAGGCACCATCCAGACTTGTTTACGAACTCTAACATTCCCCTGGCTGAATGCCAGGTGTTATTTTGACTTGTTTACAGACTCTAACAGGTTAGCAGAAATTCAGATAAAAAGTAGTACTGAAACTCCCTTTTTCTCTCTAGTTTCTGGTAGTATGACTTTTAAACATACGTTTTACATTTTAGGGAGAAAAAGTACTTTTTCCAATGTGAGATAAATAGACAAATAGAGGTACAGATTTGATCAGTCAGCTTCATTCACCTCTAAGGAAGTGCATAGTTACATTCTCAGTAAGGAGACTGTATGAGATTACTAGTGAAAACTGAGTCTTTGGTTGCCTTTTTACTTTTTAGGAGAAACCAGCAAAAGAGACTAAGAATCTGCCCTCAATGGTAATATCAATATACTTTCTCTTGTTTCCACATTTCACATATGGTAACAGAACAGGTATATGAGAAATTTCCTGTAATTCAAATACAAGTTTCATAGATGTCATTTTAACGGATGCAGGAAGGTTCATTGAATATGTGTGATGATTTCCATATTACTTTTATATTATTTTCTTAAGTAAGGAAAGTTTAGATTCTTTTTAAGTTTAAAAAGCATTTTTAAAATGGAAGATACAGGAAATTTTTGGAAAGCAAGACCCTGGTGGTTTGGGACAAAATGTAAATATTTAAAATCATATCTCAACTTTGAAAAGGTCTTCCTTGCTGGGGTAGAGCACTTGCCTAGCATGCATGAGACCCTGAATTCGACCCCCAATATCACAAACCCCAAAAAAAAGAAAAGAAATCATTCCAAAAAGGTCTTTCTTAATTTAACAACTGGAAAAAATGACTTTCCTTACTGCAGATGGAAGTATATGACAGCAATTAAATCAGATTCATTCCTGTCATAAAAATGATCTTTTTCTAAGACTTTTACCTATTTGCATTAAATCTAATATTCTTCTGTACTACTTAAGGTTTATATATATATATATATATATATATATATATATATATATACTAAATTTACTCTAATATTTTTCTCACTCTTGAATCAGATTATGTGCATGTCTTACAATAATCATACCATTTAACAATTCATATTAAACATGAAATTAGAGTTTATGACGGAACTCATCATATCCACCTCAATATTCCATTTAGAACTGAGTTTTTTTTTTTGTCATCCAAAAAAAATTGGTGGCTCAAACAATGAAATCTAAACATGCAGTGGTACTCATGTGTGATACAAAGTACAATAGTAAATAGCAGTGATCCCTGAGATAAGCTGATAGTACTACATAATGTATAAATTAAAATTGTAAATACTTCAAAGGAAGGTCAATATGGAGTAGGCATGTGAAATGCACATGGCTTAATTTTCTGAAATTTTCTTCCACATTTTGAATAATTAGGTCATTTCCATGAAAAAAATGATTAAGGGCATATTATTGTCATTGTCTCATATTTTTCATATACTCATGTGTTATTAAAAAGATACACATGACCATGTGTCCTTTTATTTAATAAGTTTAGGTTCCAGACTTTGGGGGCATGTCTTTAGAAATTAATCAAATACTAAACTGCAGAAAAAGTGGTAGAAAGCATAATGTTACAGACTTCAGCTGTTGGATTTCTGCTAGAAGTCACTCAATAGTCCTGACAGCAATCAATGAACCTGAATGAAGGTTTCCATTATTTCAGCCAGTGTCTCACCTGCCACAGAACTGATAGAAGGCTTGTTTCAGCTTCTTTCTTCCACAAAGTAAAACAAATGAATGACTTGAAGGACAGATGATGCTAGTACCAAGGGAACTCCAAGAAATCAGTGCATCAACAGCCTGTTAGAATTCCAACCCAATGTGGTTGCAGAAGGAGAGTATCTGGCAGATAATAAGAGAAAGGAGATCACAGTTTTCCAGGTTTTCATATGAAACTTGATGCTGGGATCTTGGGACCCTGTGCCATAGAGCTGCATCTTCCTGACAAATTTACACAGGAGTGTATTAACAGCAGGAAACAGTATTTCACATGTATGAAATTTACTGCAGTAAATGCCATCATATTTTAAAATTTATGGCATCCCTCGATCTGGTTTTTACACTCAATTTCTTTTATATTCATTCTCACAGCCCTTCTATAATTGTTTCTACAACATGAAATAATAAAACCACCATTATCCTCAAAAGAATCAATAGAATGACACTCTTCTCTCTCCTCCTCAAGTGAAGAAATAATAATCTGGAGAAATTGACTAACTTGAGCAAACAAAATATGCTGAGGCTAGAAGCAATCCAGGTACTAAAATGATTGATTACTGCCTAGGAAATAACAATAATTCTTACTTCTCCACTATATGAACCTGGATAATCACAGTTTTATATCAGTGTGTTAACTTTCCCGAAACAAACCAACTCTGGAGATGACCAAAACATAGAGAATTCTGTCAGGTAAAGAAATGTTTTTTTCTCTTGACCTAGTCACTGCCAGTTCATCAGTGTTATAAAGACACAGAGAAAGTTTCTGAAAACAAATTCTGCCATTACTTGGATGGAGAGGATATTCAGTAGAAAATTTATCAAGTCTAGGGTTTAATAAATAAATCCTGGTTATGATTTATAATCTCTTTCCTTGAGTTCTACCAACACCTGGTTTCTGGACACTAAACTTCTTGTTTTCTTTAGCATTCTGCAACCTATGTCAAATAGAAAAGGACCACAGGTGCTGTTTTTAATGGAAAATACAGTTATTTCCAAACAAGCTCAAAATAAACCCTATGCACATGTTTTATATCACTCCCATAGGCTGCAATCTTTCACAGTTGATGGTGTGAAATATGAGTTCACATTTG